AGGGCCACTGCTCGTAGGAAAACGAAACAAAAGAAAGAGAGGAATGAATCTTCTGCTAGAACATGGAACCATACACTGCCATATGTTTTGTCTTTTGTGCAAGTAGTGACGAGTGGAGCAAGGCCCTTAGGGCCACTGCTCGTAGGAAAACGAAACAAAAGAAAGAGAGAGCTACGGTAGTAAGTAGTTGTAACTTGAAACCGATAACTGCTGGAAAGTAGACCTGACTTCGGATCCAGAACATATATTGCTGGCCTGCTCCGCTCTCACACGAAATTTGCTGAAAGTCTCTTGAGATGTTGGGACCCTTGCAGATGCACTGCTGGGGTCCTTCGGGAAAAAGACTATTCAACAAGGAATACGTGGGCCCAATTTCTGTTTCCTGTGCCCTTAGATTTTTTAGAAGGGAGGGGAACCATTGGCTACCTCAGCCAGCGCTCTCAGAGTTTTCTTTTGTACCCTATTTATTGGGCCCAATTTTTTAGAAGGGAGGGGAACCATTGGCTACCTCAGCATCACGTGCGCGCGCATGCTTGCGCATGTGCTATGCGCCGCACGTGCGAAGCTCGCGCGCATGCGATGCGCCGCAGGTATGTTTCAGTGTGTTTCATCTTGTCTGTTGTTTTCTGTGTTTCGAAACTTGCGCTCTTGTAGCGATTGAGCGCGTCTGCGTTGCCTACACAGAGCTGACCTCTACGTCCCTTTTGCCTGTATGTATGGCCACATGCATGCTTTCTCTACCCCTGTTTTGTCCTACGTTTGTCCTAGGAAAGCATGAATGTGGCCGTGAGTGTGGCCTCATGCATCCTTCCTCTACCCTCCTTTTCTGCTAGGTTTGTGCTAGGAAAGCACGAACGTGGGCGTGTGTGCGACAGCATGCATGCTTTCTCTAACCCCCCCTCTTGTGTAATGTTTGTGCTAGGAAAGCAAGAACGTGGGCGTGTGTGCGACCACATGCATCCTTTCTCCAACCTCCTCTTGTGTTATGTTTGTGCTAGGAAAGCTCGGACGGGCCCATGTGTGCGCGTCCGCATCTTGTGTTATATTTGTGCTAGGAAAGCTCGGACAGGCCCGTGTGTGCGCGCCCGCATCTTGTGTTATGTTTGTGCTAGGAAAGCTCGGACGGGGCCGTGTGTGCGCGCCCGCATGTATGTTTTTCTAAGCAAAAACACACCCCCAGTGGTGCCTGGCCCTTAGACAAGCATTGCTTCACACAGTGCCTTGCCCTAGTGCCAACGGAGGAACAATGGTTCAGTCGGAGTCAGTCCACAACGAATGCTTATCAGTGGTTTGACTTTCGAAAATCTATTATTATTTTTTATTATGTTCTAAACTGCTAGATTCTAATGTACTAATTTACTAAATTATCAAAATTAGTGATCAATTACTGTCAGTTCTCAACTTCTCAGTCAAGTGAACTTGCATTGTGAAACGGTTTTCAGCTTTTCGCCTTTCTGCAGTCACAGATGCGGGCCCTAGAGTTCGATCCCCAGACCTTACCCTTCCCATGTACGGTATCGAGTTGAACCCCCCAGTGTTTGGAACTTTGAACCCGTGACCTGTGTTTTGGTAGTTGTTTGTTGTCTGTCGTAGGTCTGTTTAGTTGTAGGGGTTCGATCTGTAGGTCTGTCGAGTAGGGGTCACAGCTCTGTAGAGGTCGTGGCTGTAGATGTTCTGAAAGGTCAAGCTCGTAGCTGCCACAGTCCTGAAAGGTCAAGGTCGTAGCTGCTGCAGTACTCGAAAGGCCAAGTCCACAGACTTCCGGAAGGTCCGGAAGTGGCCTTTCAAAGTTGTCTCACGTCTAGCCAGAGGCAAGTGGGCAAGTGGTAAACCAACTGCACTGAGTCGGCAGTGCGACTGCATCGAGTCGGCAGGGCAACCCCGTGCAGTCAACGGTACCGGTCCCAGGCAGTAGCAGTCCAGGCAAGCAAGTACCATGAGGGAGTGTGTGCACTATGGGCCGGCGGAAAGGGGGCAGACCAACCAGTTCCTCTTGCTTGTTTGATTTTGATTGATGAAAGTATAAATCAAGAGCAGCGCCCAGCCATTCATTCATTCGCTGCATAAGCCATGCGGAAGCACTGCGACAGCGTCTTGTGCGAAGGTGGTCTGCAGGGTGCCCGAAGACGAAATGGGCTGAAGGGAGAGAGCGTAGCCATAGGCAGTAGAGGTAGAGTGGCCATAGCCGCGATAGGAAGAAGATAGGTTCAGTGCGTGTGTGTGGTATTCAGGGTGATCCAGAGTGAGCGTGTGCGAACGGTGGGGTTGGACAGAGTGACGAAGGTTGGGATGTACAGGCGCCGATGCGCCATAGCCTGTTTGAAGTGAATTTGCATCTGAACTGTGTTCTCGATTTCCACATCTCTGAGCTTTGAGTGTGCACTCTGCGCCAGTGTGAATCGCCATCTGTTTGCATGTATGCGAAGTGGAGAATAAAGCGAAGTCTGATTGCAATTGATGAGATTCAAAAAAAAAAAAACATCAAATTGAAATTTCATTAAAGTAATAAATTTTAAGTTGGATTTCAAAGTTTAAACTATAACGTTTGAACCCTTTGACAGTATTAAAAGAGGAACAAGATTTACTATGGTCACCACAACAGTTCTTAGACCTACTGAGAAGCATTTTTTTAATTTTTTAACTTTTTTTTTTCTGGGTCATGGGCCAGCAAAAATCCAACATTTACGAGCGAGTCTCACTTGTTGATCTCTCTTCGTTGCTGATACTTTTTCTTTCTTGAGTCCTGGCCCAGCAAAATCCAAAGTTGATGATTGATTGATTGTTGATTTCTGATTGTTTCTGACCCATGCCCAGCTTGGCTGCCGTCTTCCCCAGTATGCCGCGCCCCAGCGTCATGACTGTTTATGGATCAGGATTCATGACTGTATATGGACCGAAACCACGTTGTATATGTTCGTTTAATATGGTGTTATGTTTGGGGGAAGTAGGGGGTAGGTAGTCCGCAACGTCGCGTCATTGTCACTATTTTTTTCCTCTTGCCTGACCTGTTTTTTTTTTGTTTTCTTTTTTTCAGTCTGAATACCTTTCACTTGGCAGGGCAGGGAGAAGCAAACGTGACCCTCGGTATTCCACGTCTTCGTGAGATCTTAATGACAGCTGCAGAAAGAATTCAAACGCCGGTCATGGTCTGCCCTCTTCTTCCCGGCAAAACAAAGTAAGACTCCGCTACTTTTTCAAATGTTATCCTGTGTCCTTCAGGACATCCGATAAAAGTTGGAACGATACAGAAAATAAAGAGTGGGATGGCCCCTGCACAAGGGTGACACGTATAAATTGAAAGATGGGCAAAACTATGAAAAAGAAAAGGAAATATAAGACATACAGTCCTTTGAATTCTATCCCATAAAAGTTCGGAAAACTGAAAGGAAGTCGTCACAAGCCATCCAATCCACTCTGTCTTGTCTTTCTCGCTAAGATCAGGTGAACCGCGGGAAAAAAAAAGAAAAAAAAAAAAGGGTACCTGTGTAGCACTCCGAACGCGTTCGGGGTATTCGCGAACGCCCGAACACGTCCGGGGTGTTCGGCCGAACGCCTCCTGAACATGTTCGGTCGAACATATTTTTTTTAATGGTTTTTTTTTTTGTTTTTGTTTTTCTTATTTGTTTTTTTTTTGTGTTTTCAAGCAGAGTTTGGCTAAGAATGTGAACATGCCTCCCAGGTGGTAATATTTTCATGTTCGCTTTTGGAGGGTTTTGGCGCTCGTTCGCGTTCGGTTGCGAACGTTTGGGTTCGGTCACTGAACGCGAACACGATGCTACACAGAAGTTGCTATCATCATTTCATTGAACTTGATTCTGTTCCGATCCTGTTCTGATCAGTTTAAACTTTAAACTTTAAAATTTAAACCACCACTATCTTTCCCATACATCGGTCATGGGCAAGGCCCCGCAAGTTTCGGGGGCCGACAACGCACCAAAGGCTGCCCCAACGGGGAACCGGCCCCGAAGAATGCGGTATAGGTACTAAAGGTTATATTGAATATATTCCCACTTGGGACTACGCTGCGAAAGGTAGTGGTGGTTTAATATCTGATCTTCTTAAATTTAAATAAAAAGAATAGTCATATTTGCTAGCGCACGGCCGGCGCACAAGCTCCTTTCTGTCTAAAGAATATGCAATCGCAAATTTTATCGTTTCACGAGTAGTGTGGCGAGCCCTGTGACGGTTCTTGAGTCGCTCTGGTGGTAAATGATGTCGGGCCGACTCAGTGCTTATGCTGCAAGCTGCATGTGAGTTGCGCTTTTTTATTATTAGAATTGACAGTGGGATTTGATCGGGTTTTTTTTTTTTTCATTTCTATTTTATTTTGATTTTGATTTGGTTGATTTGATTGATTTGCGATTTCGTTCGGCTGTCCGAGATCGAATCCGATCGATCTGTCAGTCAATTGATGCGTGGGTAGTTATTTACCTCAATTTGCCAATCAGTTAGGGCTGCGGAGGACCATTCACCAAATGCAGAAAAGAAAAGAAAAGAAGTATCGCGCTGTATAGTTCAATGTTTTAGCGGAAGATTAATTCATATTTTTAAAAAATAATTTTTGCACATTTGGTGAGTGGTTCGGTGAGGCCCTTAGTCACAGTTTGATTTCTGCTACTTGAACAAGCAAAAGAAGGATAAACTCTTTGTTGCATAGCCCCCAGGCTTTCGAGTTGCATCTTTTAGAAAGCAGGCACTGCTTTACACAAAGATAAATTATTAAATTGGGTATTTACTATTTACTTAATTTTACTATTTAATATTTATAATCCATTGCAACCTAGGCTCTACTAGAGTGGTCTGCTACCAGAGTGCTCTAACACAACTAGCCCGGCCGACCCAAAACAAAATATATATATAAACTCCGACGACACAGTTTGTCACACAGCCCCTCGTTTGTTGTCCTCTTCTCGCTCTCTGCCTACGGTTTACAGGGCAGCTCTGTTTGACGATATATATATATTAATTTGGTAAAGAATTTTCGATGTGACCCTGAGGCAAAAGTTATTCAATTTAGTTTTCTGCATAACATGTTTTTTTAACTTTTTCTTGTCTTTTCTTTTTCTCTTTCCTTGCACGACCAGGCTGGACGGGAAATCAGGGTGGCCCGGGTGGCCCAGCTTGGAACTAGTTGGTTGGGTATTGTCAAGCAATTGTTTTGCTTTGAAAGCAGGCTAACATGAGTCATGATCTCTTTGATTTCCTTGATGGTTTCCATAACTCTCTCTCTCTCTCTCTCTCTCTCTCTCTCTCTCTCTCTCTCTCTCTCTCTCTCTCTCTCTCTCTNCTCTCTCTCTCTCTCTCTCTCTCTCTCTTTCCAGGGCTGATGCCGAGGCAGTTGCGAGTCTGTTGAGAAAAGTGAAAATGGCAGAAGTGATCCGGAGAGTAGAGGTGGCAGAGAAACCATGTGCGGTGGTTGCAGGTGGGATGCGGAGCAAGGTGTATAGGGTGCGCCTGCAGTTCTATGCGGAGGAGGAGTACCCATCGCATCTAAAGATCACGACCCGGGAATGTGAAAGGGCATTTCGTCTAGAGTTTGTCGGAAACCTGATGGCTGCTGTTGGAAAGCTTCAGAAGAAACAGAGTGCGAAGATGGGCGATGCAAAGCTCATCATTGAATCAGCGCCTATGGTAGCGGAGGTGAAGGAAGCTAATCCTGATGCAGGCCAGAAATCCAAGAAAGGCGAGGATGACGAGGTCGCAGAGGAAGATGGAGCGGATGCTGAGAAGCGGCGAGGGCAGGGGAGGGAAGGCCGTACATACGACGCGGATGTTGATGACGAGGAGCGCGAAATTGCTCAGCAGACAATGAGAGAGGCGGCCCGCCACGGTTTCGAAGGAGCGGCGTGGGAACCCGTTGACGAAGAAGATGAAATGGGAGAGGTGGACGATGAAGGCGATGTAGAGGCTGCCGCGGGAGAAGCGCGAGGCGACGAAGCAGATGACGAGCATGGCGAGTTGTCGGATGATGAGGATCACGGGAGAATAGGTGTGGGAACGATCAGAAAGGCGGACGGCGAGGTGGTGAAAACGGATGTCAAGGGTTCGAAGCCGAAAGCAAGCAAGAAAGGGTCGACAGCGGAAGCAAGCAGCGTGTTGACGGGGAAGAACTGGTGCGAGTTCCGATTCTCGGTCCCGGTCAACTCTCCGCCATTGCTGCTCATGGAGGTGAGTGCGAATCAGTGGGGGGGGGGGGGAAGGACATTCAAGGGGCATTCAAGGGGCATTCATGGGGCCAAAGGGAAACCCAGGGGTAGAAATGGGAGAGTGGGCTGTAGTCGCCGGAAGGAAACAGCTGAAAATAGCAAAAGATTAAGTAAAGAACAGTAAACATGCATTTTCTGCATGCATATGCGGCGCATAACGCTCAGAGAGAAGTTGTGGCAATAAGAAGTGAGGGCCGCCTCGCTCCACTACTCGACATTCTACACGTTTGTGACTGCAAATCGGGACCACCAAGTACATTCCTGCTGCTCTAACATTGCAAATGTATCCAGATACAGTTGCTGTTTTCCAGATACATCTAGATGGTCATGCAGTGGAGCAATGCCCTTTTCCTTTAGACTTGGAATGAGCGTACAAAGAATAGCATGATGGTGTGTTCGGTATTTCTCTGCTGGCGGCTGAATGGTACACACACTGTCACCCATAGAACAACTGATTGTGCACGTAGAACTATCAACGAATCAGGTGATGAAAGCTCAATCCTTCTGGTATGTTTGTGTGTAGCTTCCGAGAATGAGGCGAATCAGGTGTATGCAAGAAGTGAAATGTGAGTGATGATCGGATGATTGCAGCAGTGACCGAGAAATGATGCCATTCCATCACTTATTTGATAAAGAGTCTGGTATGTTTGTGTGAAGCTTCCGTTGATCGGAAGTGGGTTTTGTTATTTTCGTGTTTTCTCAAACTTTTGTTCTTTTGTGTTGTTTTTGTTTCTATACAGCTGGTGGAGAAAACGGCGCTTGAGGTGGTGGTGAGAGAAACGCCCGGAATAAATCGTTGTTATGTGATGGATGGCGATAAAGGTGGTCCCCCCAAAATACAGCTGGATGGCATCAACTTTGGCGGGGTCTGGAAACACTCTGACGTATTGGATGTCAATCAGCTCACGACTAATCACCCAGCTGCGATGCTTCGTACTTACGGTGTCGAAGCGGCGAGGGCAACGATCATGAATGAGGTGAGGGGAGTGTTTGGCGCGTATGGAATCGCTGTTGATGCGAGACATCTCAGCTTGATCTCAGACTTCATGACGTTCCACGGCGACTACAGAGCGTGCAATCGTATTGGCATTGAGGCACACACTTCACCGTTCCTGAAGATGAGCTTTGAGACGGCAACGCACTTCCTGATGGACGCAACGCTGAAGGCGCAGACTGATTTCCTGGAGTCGCCCTCTGCTCGGATAATCCTAGGGCAAGTGCCACAGATCGGAACTGGATCATTTGACTTGCTCCACAGGATACCAAAAGCCGCCAAGTGCTAAGGAAGGTAGTTGCGTAAACCACCGTTGGTCCACTACCTTTCCCCGCTTGAAAAACAAAGTCGCAGCTCGTTAACGGCCACATTTTTTCGGTTGGGGGGGGGGGGTGGTACCGGATCGAAATTGCTGGCGGCACCAGCCAAAAGCAGGCCCGCATTGCGTCGTTTTTTTTTTCGGCGCGCGGGGCGAATTTAGACTGGGCGTCAAAAGATGGTCGGAGTACCAGTGGTCTAACCTATGATGCAGGAGTAGAGGGAGGGCTACACCATAGGCAAAGATTGCAAAGGCAGGGGCATCTGGCGACGCAAAGAGGCGGGGAAGGGGGAAGCCAAAATACGGTGAGAGGCAAAAGGGTGGAAGGAAGGCGAGCAACAAGGCAACCGGGAAAGTGAAGCGAACAGGGAGGAGGTTGGGAAAGGGGGCGAAAAACAGAGAGGCAAAGGCAAAAAACGGCGAGGCAAACGGGGCAGAAAGCCAAATCATGAGGCAAAGGGGGAAGTGAGGCGAATAGCAAGGCAAACGGAGAGAGGAGGTAGCAGTTATTATGGGCAAAAATGGGGGGGGGGGGGGGGGGGGGGGAGAGAGAGAGAGAGAGAGAGAGAGAGAGAGAGAGAGAGAGAGAGAG